CAGGAAGGGGCCCAAGATTTTGCTTCTAAAATTGCTGGACTCCATGGAAACAATTCTCACTTCTATAGAAAAGGCCATATCTGTCTGAAACTTCCCTGGAGTGATGCATCAAACCTGAGGGAGCTGCTGGACAGATTCAATCATGAGAAAGAGCAGCAGGACTGTCAGCACACTGAGAGGAGAAGGGAGGAGAGGTTTCAGCTCCTCTGGGGAAGCGTGCACAGATCAGCACATCACTTCCTGGCATGGGGGTCAGAAGGTAAAAAGGAAACACAGTATTGTAGACAAGAAACCAGGAGCTGGGATAATTGCTGGGATGGAAGAGGCTTCTCTCCCAGATTTCCCCATTGCAAAGAGAAAGGTGGCTTACAAAGTGCTTATTTGATTTGAATAGGCACTTCATGAGCGGATCGGAAACCAGGGACAGTAAGTCACCGTTAGCAGCTCATGGGAGGAGAAGAGCCCACTGCTGCTAAGACTCTGGCTCCTGGTCTTTCCCACCAGCCAGGTTCTTGCCTGCAAACGGGTCCCGTACGTGGGTCTTGTGGGCTGCTCCTTCCGCTTGCCTGCATATTGGCTCCCATAGGCAGGTCCTTCTGCCTGCCTGCAGACGGGCTCCTGGGGACAGCTCCTGCTGTTTGCCTGTGGGAAATAGTCTGTTTTTCTTTTTTATTTTCTTCTTCTTCTTCTTCTTTTTTTTTTTTTAAATTAACCAGAGGGGGAAAAAAAGAAAACAAACCCAAACACCCAAAACTCACATATCTATTCCTCTGTCCTGACCTAGAAGAACTGGGTATGATTTTCAAGCCTTGCAAGGACACCACCGGCAGAATCAAACCAAACTGAACTGAGCTAAGGCAGAATTGTTAACTCTAAGGATAACAGCCTGAATTATAAAGTGTCCAACAAGTTGGAGAACAACAGACTTGAAGTAGGTGACTTGTATAATTTTCAGAGCATTAGATATTGGATTCCCTGTGTAGTGTAAATTATTAATCTAAGGCTATTTTACTACTACAGACAACCCCTTCTTTGCACAGTCCTACTGAGCTGTGGAAGCTCATAGTAAGGCTGAGCTGTCTAGCTGCTTGCTAATGTCTTCAGTGGTTTAAAAATTGGCTGTATATATATGTGAGAGGCGCTGACTACAAATCCATAAGGAATTTTGAAGAATGTTTTAATCATTTTTCTTGCCTACTTGCACTCTACTGAAATGAACTTAGAGAGGAAAAAAAATCTCTAGTTTTCCTCAGTCTCTGCACATCTCCATCCCAAGGAAGATTTTAGTGAGCGTCTTTTCTACCAGGGGTGCCCAATCATCTGCCATGGCTGAGTGCTTTCAATTCTGAAATCTGTTCAGTTTATTTTTGACAATGCATCATCAAAGTGAATCAAAATATGAGGACATTATATCTCAATGTGATGTTTCAGCATTATCATGTCCTCCTGCAACATGAATACACAGCAATGTTGACATATACGGTTTAAGTCCCACCAAAGAGAGGGGGCTGTTAAGACTGTTATCCTGTTCAGGTACTAAATTTAGCCATCAGTTAGCCCGCAACACCCACAGAGGTGGGCATAGCAAAATGCCAGCACTGACACTGATAATTTATTGTCAGCTCTTACGGTGAGTTCCATGTCCTCCTCCTCTTTTTCTTTCACTGTTTTTTCAGGTTCCTCTGGTTCCTTCTCTTGGAGGTGGATCTCACTGGCTTGAGTCATGTAAGGCATGTCATCTTTGTTCTTGAACTCCAAGCTGAGGATTGAAGGAGGAAGTAGAATTCCTAGAATTACCTAAAGCAATAACAATGATAATAATAATCATCACAATAAACAGATTACAATCATGGTGGTTGCTTAGTATCAAATGGAACAACTGCCTCAGGACACTTGGGAAAAGAAATATACTTGTGCATGTGAGTTTCTATGGCAATACAGTATTTGTCGCTTGGAGTAAGGCTCTTGGAGCTTTCTGGTGAAACAAAGCATGTAACTTCCATTAGCATTGCTATGAGTGCTATGGCTAATTGACTCCTGAATATTTTATCTGTTTGCTCATCAGATGCATATTGTTACCCACTAGAATACATTGACAAAACATTACAAAGATTCATTGGCAGATGGGACCATGAATGCATTCAGACCTTGAACCTGCAGATTTCTGCATTGTACATAATAGACAACATTGGTGTAAATGCAATACAAGAAGCAATTATTTAGTATAACTTAATATACCCAGGTAGTACAGTCAAGGCATAAGCATGCCTCGGTCTGAGTAGAGGCAAAGCCAGCATTAGAAACACTGATGCGCTTAGCTATGCAGTCTCCTTAGATTTTGCTTCAGTAATCTGGCAGCTATGTAATGTTCATATTTATGCCAGCTCCTTATTTTTTGTATACTCCCTCTTGTGCTGAGGGAAAGCAGAAATCATTACATTTACCTTGTGCTGATATGCACAATGCTTGGGGTCAAATCTGCAGTATAACTAAGGGCGTATCATAACAATATAAAAAGAAGTGGCCTGTCTGTAACTGGAAAACACAACAGAAGCCCTTTCCTCCTCACTTCCCCCCCTGAATTTCTCACAGAAAACAATTTGTTATACATCTTCCCCTAAAAGACAGTAAAGCCAGATAGCTAGCCTGTTGCATGTCAGAAGAGGGAGATTGCTCTTGCTCATCATACTGTCAGGCAGCATGTGTGTTGCTGAAATCACCGCAATTATTGCAACTAGGAGCAGTCAGAGCATGCAAACCCTGTGTCCAGCCTCAGACCAGCTGAGCATTAACTGATCTTGACTCTTCCTGCACTCCACTCATGGGAAGAGTCCCTCATTGAGGGAGGATGTGTTAAAGCCGAGGGGCTTATGGGCAGATCTGGCTTCCCAGGAAAGCTGTTTATAAAGACAGGCAGAATTTACAATTGATTCTCCCCCTCGCACTGGTGCTACACATCCCTGGTGAGACATCAAAAGAATCAGATTCAGCCTTCTTGCTATTTGCCAATTTCAACCGGAAAAAATTGTTTATGGGAAATAATTCATGATTCATGCTTGAAAATTTATTTCTGCCACGCTGCTTCTTGCTTGCACAAAAGCAACTTGCTTTGCCTTTCTTCAGGGCCTGCTAATGAGCATCAGTGAGTAAAACACAGACTATAAACTGAGCTGAGGATACTTTTGAGACCCTTATGCTAGAAGAAATTGAGGGGCAAAAAGAGTTCAATATCTTTGATTAATTACTGTTGAAAGAAGGTCTATTTTATGTCTTAAGAGATGAAAACTGTAAAGGAAAAAGCATGCAGTGGGAAATGAGCTGCTGCACTGAGCCAGATCTACCCAGGTGGAATATCTGCAAAGCCAAGAGGTGAGCAAGGGACCAATCCCTCTCCCTCATGAGGGGCAGAGGGCCTGTGATGTGATTCAGAAAAACAGGTACTAAAGACAACATTTCTGTCTGTAGGCAGCACAGTATTTAAATGCAGCCCCTACAGGAGGATGATGAGAATCTTATCAGTCACTCATCCTCATTCATCATTGTTACTGGATTAGATCCCATATGATAATGATGCATTTAGTCATAATTATTCTCACCATTATCTAAAATAATTTCATGGAGCACAACAGCTGCAGCAAATACCACTTCTCACCCGCCAACCCCATGCAGGACAGACAGTCCCCCTCTGTGAAAATATTTCCCTATCAGCTGACAGAAATAGGCAATTCCTGATTTTGTGCTAATTAATGAGTACTTTTGTGGAAGTGAAAGATGACAGCCTGGCTTTGTTTCTAGACAGAAACTCCTCTCACAGAATCCACCTTGCTCTGCTTGCACTTCTGCTCATAGAAGTAAAGCTTAAATGGTTTTGGAAATTGAATTACTCTCTAGATCCCCTTGGGCAGTCCCTTCAGGTCAGCCATCAGGGAGGCTGTCAGAGACTTGCAAGAAAATTTGTATGTCTCACTGTTGCTTGTTCTGAGGAATTGCTCCCCAAGGTTGTCAGATCATTGCCTTGCACTTGCAGATAATTCTCCTGCACATACTTTTTCTGTGTTTACCTTTAGAAACCTTGGCTAGCCCTTCAGGTAACCAGGCAGGGTCACCTGCCAACTTGCTGCTGCAATTCGTACTCTGATAACTCTCTGGTGCTGGAGGGGGCTTTGAGAAAGCCAATGAAAACCTAAGCAATATGCTTTGAACTTGGGTTTGTGGTAATCTCCCTGCTGGAAAGCTGAATGTGGGAAGGGTGTACCCCAGTTAACACCATTATAAATGAGCAGCTGGAATGCGGCTAATAAGAGCTGATTGTTTCTAATTTCTGTGAGCCCTGTCATCATCCATTAGAATTGCTCTACCGACAATTTTATCTTAAAATAGTGCTGACCTTTAGACCAGAGTTTTTTCGCATCCGAAGACGACCCATCCACATGTCCGTGAGCAGCATTTGACTGCAAGTGTGAGCAATGAAATCCCTGTGCTTGGCCGCCACGGCAAGCTGCAGGCATGTGGCGTTGCTCCAGTTCTTCAGTTCATAGGTCAGCAGTTTCATTGCCAGTTGCTCGTCCTGCTTGTACGACTGATCCAGCAGCTCCACCGCCAACTGGCCAAAGTCCCTGTGACGGGGGGGACACTTGTTCATTTGTGTCAGTCCCAGAGGCCTGATGCAAAGAGAAATCTCCAAAACCCACTGCCTCCACGAGGGGAGCATTGCTGGCCCTTGCACAAGTCGTGATGCTGACTACACACACGGAAACCCACATTTTCACATGTGAGTGGCTAGTGGCAGGCACATAAATAAGTGGCCCCGCTTCCATGTGCTGAGCACCCACACCTACCAGATGTCTTCTCCCACCTGCCTGCCCACTTCCCTGCCATTTTCTGGTTGAAACCCACTGGCTGTCTGCAGCTTGGTAGGTTGCTTCTCCACTGCTTGCTCATGGTTTCCCGGTCAAATTCCCCAGAAAGAGGAGTGCTCGATACTCTTTTTAAAATTCTAATCATTTTTCTTTTTGTCTCAGATTTTTAATCTCAGAAAAATAATTATGCAATTAGTCTCACAGATTGCTCATCTAAGCATGAGCTCTTTGTTAATTACTGCTTCTGCCTGAGTATCATGTTGGTAAGATTACCAACAAGCATTTTGCTTGGGATAAATAGAGCGACTTGAGAAAGGCACAGAAAAGATCGCAGCCTGACTCTTGAGGACTCAGGAGGAACACATAGGCAGTATAGATATTTCATTGCCTTCTCGACACTTTCTCATTTCTGGAGATATACTGCTAGCAGGATTGCTTCTCTGGTAGACAGACTGCTTAAAAGTTATTTGATTCCTTTTCTAAAGG